GCTCACTTTGTAGCCCAGGCTGGTCTCGAACTCGCAAGGATCCTCCCGCCTCAGCCTCCTAAGAGCTGGGATTACAGGCGTGCGCCACCACGCCCGGCTCTCATTTCGGATCAGTCTTACCCTGCTTGGCATCTATGTTCAGGCGCACTGGAGCTGTGAGCTTTCATACTGTCCCTGACCCTGTCTCACTAAGCTACCTTGAAAAAGCCCCTACTTTTCTAGCTGCCTTTTCTATAAACTAGAAAATTCAACCGTGGTCCCTGGAGGACCCTCCTGCAAGGCGTCCTGGGACCCAGGGATCCCTCGTGGGCGAGAGTCTGGTCTCGGTCTTGTGCTCTCTGAGGCCAGGATCACCGCGGAAACCTCTGTCTCCCCCAGCCCTGCGGGTGCCCGAGAAGAGGGAAAACCTAGCGCAGCTGGAAACAGTCCTGAGCCTGGCTGTGACTCTGCAGTCAGACACACCTACGTTCAGGGCCTGGCTGCCGTCCCTGCCCGCTGTATGACCTTGGGTAAGAGCCCGGCTTCTCCTTAGTGAGTCACGTGGAGACAGGCGTGGCTGCCTCAGACGCCCGCCAGGGCGCTGGCACAGTCTGACACGGGCCAGGGTCAGGGAGCTTTTGCTTCTGTTGGTAAGTGATGACCTGACTCAAGGGCCCTTAGAGTGCCCTTGGATTTTGGAGAGCTGAAAACTGGGGGGCTGTGGCTGAGATGAGCTCTAATCCCCCCAGGGAGCTCCAGAAAAGGAAGAGGGCTGGGAGCGGGCCCCCGGGGAGCAGGAAGCGGGAGGAGAGGACATGGCTCAGGACTCACTCCTCTACGAGGATGTTGACGGGGTACAGGACGGGGATGCTGGTGGCGGCCGAGTTGTCCTCCAGGAGACTTGCATTCTCGTTCTCGCTGCAGCAGGGCAAGGCAGAGGGCAGGGTTGGGGCGGGCGTGGCCAGGCTGCCTGGCCCTGGGCGCCGGAGGGGCTTCCTGGGGCCACTCACCAGCTCACGGTGGTGTCCAGCTTCACGAAGTCCCCCCAGGAGCTGTTCAGCAGCGTGTTAAACATCACCTGGATGCCCACCTAGCGGGGAAAGGGGGCCGGGAAGAAGGAGGGGACCTCAGGAGCAGCCCAAGAGCCACAACCACAGAGATTCTTTTGTTTTGTTTTGTTTTGTTTTTTTCCGGTACCGGGAATCGAACTCGTGACCTTGCGCTTGCCAGGCAGATGCTGTGCCGCTGAGCTAAATCCCCGGCCCCAGAGATTCTGTACAGTGTCCAGGGCTTGCTGCCTCTCAAACACCAGGCTAGATGTTTCATCTCCACCCAACAGACGAACTTATCACATGCATAAGATCACAAACGAATAACCCATCCCAGGTTTGTCTGGTCCAAAGTCCAGGCTCTCTGCCAGGCTGGCTGGCCAATCGTGTGCACCCCCCCCAAGAACCAAGAGCTCACTCCCCTTTCCTGGCTCACAGTGCTTGGTCCCTTGGTCCCCGAGCCCTGCCAAACAGCACTCACCGAGGTGCCTGCTTTGAAGATTGGCGAGCTCACATTGCACAGGAGGCTTTTGGTCAGGAGCTCGGGCCCTTCCGGGAGCTCCTGGCAGCTCACAGGCATCTGGGTGTGCGGCTTCGAGGGAGAAGAGAAAGTGAGGGTTTCTTGGTGGACAAGGCCCAGGGCTCCCCCCAGAGCCCATCAATCCTCAGGGCTGAAGCTGGACGTGGTGGGTGCACGCTTGTAATCCCAGCACTCGGGAGGCTGAGGCAGGAGGATTGTTGTGAGTTCGAGACCAGCCTGGGCTACAAAGTGAGCTCCACACCAGCCAGAACTGCATAGCGAGACCCTGTCTCAAAAACCAAAAACAAAACAAAACAAAACAAAACCAATCCTCAGGGCTCTCCCCTCCAGGTCTCTGTCCCTGTCATAGCACATTCTCAGAGAGCCAGGGTCAAAGGATCAGGGGCACAGCCGGGCACAGTCCTCTGCGAGCACCTGAATTCCAGCTACTCAGGAGTCTGGGCTGGGAGGATCACTTGAGCCTAGGAGTTCTAGGCCAGCCTGGACAACAGAATGAGATGGCGTCTCAAAAACACCAAAACCCCAAGCAAAACAGAGATTATCCTCAGCCGGGCACAAGAGACAGATACTGCATTGTTCCATTTATATAAGCTATCTGTGATATGTACATTCACAGAAACAGAAAGTAGATTAGAGGTTACCAGGGGTGGAAGGGGGAGTTACCACTACTTAGCAGGTTTGAAAAGATGTAAAAGTTCTAGAAATACATAGTCCTAACAGTTGTACAACCCTGTAGAGGCACTCAGTGTCAATAAACTGTATGTCGAGGCTGTTAAAATGGTATACTTTATTATTATGTATATTTTACAAGAAATATTTCTTCTTTTTGAGACGGTCTCGCTATGCAGTTCAGCCTGGCCTTGAGCTTACTCTGTAGCCCAGGCTGGTCTCAAACTTGCAGTGATCCTCCTGCCTCAGCCTTCCGTGTGCTGGGTTGTCTGTTTTCTCAGACAGGGTCTCACCATGTAGTTTGGGCTGGGGTTGAACTTACTCTATACCTCAGGGTGGCTCAAATTTATGGCAATCCTCCTGCCTCAGCCTTCTGAGTGCTGGGATTACAGGTGTGTACCACCACACCCTCCTGTCCCACACCCCCTTTCCTACGACCCTCTCACTCATCTTGGGGTTATCCACAGGCTCACTTTTTGTTTGTGGGATCAGAGGCTCACAGAAGGAAGGGGACCATGGATAGGAAGACCTAAACCTGTCCGCCTGCTGCGGGGGCCTCGCAGCAAGCAGGTGCTGTTCACGGCTCACCTTCAGCATCTCCACTTTGCGGAAGGACAGCCCCTGGGGAAAGGCCAGGCCTAGGTGGACCCAGTACGCATCTTCTCCCGAGTTGCTCAGCGTCCACTCCACAACGAGGCTGGAAGAAGGGGTCAGACGCAGGGCCCCGGGCCTGGTGTGGGGGGGATCAGAGACAGTTACGGAGGCCAAATGATTCAGGTGGGAACTTCAGAACTGAGGGATCTGGCAGGCCACACAAGTAAGCTTCAGGGGCTGCGGGTGCAGCTTGACGGCCCGGGGCTGGCCGAGCACATGTGAGGCCCTGGGTTCACTTTCCAGTGCTGCAGAAGAAGAAAAAGCTCCTGGGCTCAGGCCTTCCCTTGTGCGACCTCATCTAGCCCAGAGAGCCGGAACTGCGCGGGGACCCTGCTGTTCTCAGAGAAGGAAACGAGCCCAGAGAGGGAAGCCCAGAGGGGGAAGCCGCCTCCCAGCCGACACACAGCAGGGCGCCCAGGGCACAGGCGCTGCCGCAGCAGCCCCAGTGGAACCCGAGGGGTGGGGGTGGACGGTGAAGGCTTCCAGACCTGGCAGGGGACAAGGACAGCTTTAGGTCAGCCTCGCACTTCTTGTCCTCCCCGCAGTTCTTCTCGAAAGGGATCTGCAAGGCCGAGCAGAAAGGACTGGGAGGCTCGGGCTCCCGACCAGCAGGGCCCAGCCCCAGGCCGCCCTCTGCCCTCGGCCTTCTTACCTCCTTGGTCTCGGAGTGTGGGGAGGGTCGCAGGATGGGCCACATGTCCGGGCTGTCCTGAGCGTGGAGGAGCAAAGACAGGAGAGCTTAGCTGAGGCAGCGGTGCTCGCGAAGGGACCTGGAGGGTCTCCGGGCCTGGCGGGGATGGCGGCCCCACTCTCTGGCCGCAGCCCTGGCGAAGTGTGCAGCCCTGCTCTGGCGGCAGCTTCTGGGTGGGAGGCCGAGGCGCTGAGTGCCGCCTCCCCTCCAAGGATAGGAGGGCTGCGTGGGGACAAAGCAAAGCAGCCCCTCGACCGCAGTTTTGGCTGTATAGACTCCGGGCTCACCTGCCTGTGAGCGGCCCTGCCTCTGCGGCTCTTCTCTCACACCCCCTGCTCCCGCTAGAAAGGCACTCATCTCAGAAGCTCAAGGCAAGTTCTCCAGCGCTTCCCAAGCTTGCACTCCAGGCCAGACCCAGGCTGAGCACTGGTTATACGTCAGAGACCAGCCACTCAGACCACCTGCCCTCCGAACCGGCAGGAGAAACATCCTGGCATTTTCTACAGGTGTCAAGTGTCTGGGCAAGTGCAGAGTATCCTCAGGGCATGGAGAAAGACTCCTATCCCAGCCCTGGGGATGCAGGCAGCCTCCTGAAGCAATTGCATCCCAACTGAAATGTAAAGGCAATAGTTTAGACATAAAATGTCCCCCAAAGGGCAGCAGGCATGATGGCATAAGCTTGTAATCCCAGCACTTGGGAGGCTGAAGCAGGAGGATCTCAGCAAGTTCAGGGACAGCCTGAACTACATAGCAAGACTATCTCAGATGAAAACAAAAGCAAAAACAAAACTCTTCAAAAGAAAAAAACAAAACCCTTGCATGCTTATAGCTGGTCATGTGAACATCTAATTTGATGACAACAATAGGCAATATAACAACTATTTTGTCTAGGTTTTTTTTGTTGTTGTTTTTATTTTTTATTTTCTTTAATGGTTTGATCAATCTTGCATTCTTGCATCTGGTAATCTGAGCAACTTTGTTGACGATAATGATATGTAATATAACAACCACTGTTAATTCCTATCATTTTGTTCTGAAATCCTGTATCATTTTTATTGTTTTTGCTTTGTTTTGTTTTTGTCTGTGTTGTTGGTATTTTGCTATTGTTCTTTTTATTATTATTCTCTTTAAAATAAAAAAAAGAAAACCCTGAAAATGTCCCCCAAAAGCCCATGTGTTAAAGGGTTGGCGCCCAGCGCCAACTGTGACATGGCATAACTGTTTTTCTTTTATAGGAGTGGTACTGGGGGTTGAATCCAGGCCCCTGCACACCGTACACAAGCACTCTCCACTGAGCTACCTCCCCAGCCCAAAGATGGTGAACCTTTAAGAGGCAGGACCTAGTTGGAGGAAGTCGTCGTGTTGTACCCCTGAAGGGGGATGTGGGGGTCCACCCTTTGCTCTCTCTGCTTCTCTGAGGCGAGATCACTGTGCCGTCTGCTCCTCACCAGGATACAGGGCTTCACCACACAGGCCCAAAGCAGCAGGGCCAACTGGCCATGGACTGGGCCCCCAAGGCCACGCGTCAGAATGACCCTTCCCTCCTTGGAGGCTGAGGAGAACAGGCACCACCCCCAGCCTGCCCCACGGCACTTCCTGAGTTTTCACCTGCACATCCCTAAGAACTGCAGCCTCCTGTGTCAGGCCACCCGCCACGCACCCTCTAGACTCTCCCCTGAGGGCTGGCATCCTGGTGGCCCCTGCTGACTGCTCCTGGGGTCCCACGGTGCAGTCTTACCACCGTACTTCCCCTCCCTCTCCATCTACCCCGTCTTTTTGACTTTATAATCTCAGGTCTCTTTTCTTGAGTTTCTTTTTTTTTTTTTTTCTTTTGTCTTTTTGAGACAGGGTCTCGCTATGCAGTTCAGGCTGGCCTTGAACTCACTTTGTAGCCCAGGCTGGTCTCAAACTAGCAAGGATTCTCCTGCCTCAGCCTCCCGAGTGCTTAGATTACAGGAGTGTGCCACCACACCTGGCTTTTCCTGAGTTTCTACCCTGTATATGTCACCTGGCATTTAAGAGTGTCTATGACAGACACTACTGGTTGTCCTCAGACATCCTTCTGTGTCCCCCGTGCCTTTAAGACTCAGCCCCCACTTCTTTTGGGGGCATAAGGCCCTGTGGACAGAAGACTGCTTCTCCCAGTCTCTCTTGCAGCTGAGTGTGATCATGTGACTAAGCTCTGACCAATGAGATATAAGTGAAAGTGTTATGTAGATTTTTAGAAGGTATTTTTCTTTCTTTTCTGGAGACAGGGTCTCGCTATGTAGTGCAGGCTCACCTTAAACTCATTATGTAGCCCAAGCTGGCCTCAAACTTGTGGTGATCCTCCTGCCTCAGCCTCCCGAGTGCTGGGATCACAAGCATGCACCACCATGCCTGGTGGAAACATTCTTAAAGGGGAGATGGCTATGCATCTTTTGCCCTCCCTCTGCAAGGTGGGGACACGATGCTAAGAGCCTGAACAGGCATCCTGGAGCACAAGATGGGACGCAGAGGAAGGAGAAGCAGCAGTACCAAAGGAAGCCATGGCCGAGTCAGAGCCAGGCTGGGGCCGAGGGTGAGCAGCCACGGCCGGAAGGCCGGATCCAGCCCCAGCTGTTCAGTCAGTACCCGCGCACCGCTCGTCACGGTGGCTTTGATGCTATAAAGGGCAGCGCTGAGTAACAGAAACCACACAGTCTGCAAAGCCAGGGACATTTGCTTCACTCTCAGGTGAAGTCTGCCAACCCCAATTTAGAGACAGAATCACCGCACCAGCTTCCAGCTGCCGCTCACGGGGGGAAGGAAGAGCTTTCCAAATGTGCCTCTCTGCGGCTCACAGCTGAGTTAAAGCAACGGGCACTGTGTCCCGGCTGGGAATGGACGCGGCTGTGTCCTGGATGGTTCACGGTCTCAGACACGAGTCTGAAGTGGAGCCCAGCTCCCCTTCTCAGTAAACCTGTGTCCCCTCGCGCTCCCGGTCACAGGGTGACTCCGTCATTTATCCAGACACGGGTCAGCAGTGGGTGTCATCTTCAGCCTCGTCTCAGCTTCTTGACTCTTTTTTTTCTTTTGTCTTTTGGAGACAGGCTCTCGCTATGCAGTTCAGGCTGGCCTTGAGTTCACTTTGTAGCCCAGGCTGGTCTCGAACTTGCAATACAACAGTCTTCCTGCCTCAGCCTCCCGAGTGCTGGGATTACAGGTGTGCACCACCACATTTGGCCTATGTCCTCCTTCTGAATGCCACCTCCCCTTCTCTCTCTGGGGACTTCAGGGTCACCTGTGAGCAGACGTTCCTCATCCCCTCAAACCTCTGCTACAGATTGTATCTAACTGACCACAGCATCCCAGCAGCATGTTGGAAATGCGCACTCCTCCGGCTTCTCCCACAGTGCACTGCGAGCTCCGTGAGGGCAGGGGCCACGCTTACTGGCCTCAGTGGAGCTGTGCCCAGAAGAGGGCTTAGCAAGGCGGGGACTCGTCGGCACTGCTGAGCATCTGGTGGGCTGAGGTTTATTTCTGGTAAGTCCACGACCATGAGGTCCCAGGAGATAAGCCCCGGTGGCGGGGTCCACTCACTGTGTGCTGCCCAAAGCCACAGAGCGTGCTTAGCAGTTGCCATGCAAGAACAAGAGGCCGCCAGCTCTGGAAAGCACCTCACGGCGTGGAGGCTCATTCTGTGGGTGGGAAGTAGTCCCCACAATCCACACGTTCAGGTTTTCAGGCCCGGGTTCTTCCTCTCAGACGGGGCCCTCTGACCTGCTTAGCCACCAGCTGAGTGTCAGGGATTTCAGACAAGGATGTCAGGTGTCTAGCATGCGGCGGGAAGCTAGAGTACATACTATTTTTGCTCTTTCACAGCACCCTAACTTGGTTTCGAGGGAACTACTTGCCGCCAATCAGACACATAGGTGAGAAGGCAAATCAAGAAGCCCTGTCCTTCTAGCAGCAGGGAACAAAAGCGGGCCAAAGCCAGGCCTTCCAGAATTCTCTCCCTGGAGTGCGCGTGCGGAGCAGCGTTAGGACCCGATGTGGTCCAGAGCTAACGCCCAGCAGGGGCCGGGCACGAGTTCACTGAAGGGGTCCTGGAGAATTCAACTGTTACCACTGCCTCTAAGAGCCTCAGAGTCTCCACCCGGGCTTCCGTTCTTCCCAAAGTTGTTTTTCCAAATTTCTTTTCAGGGCAAACTCTCGTTGCATCCTTTTCCTGCTTAAGTCAGCCATGTTTATTCTGTATGGCTTACAATCACCCAAAGACTACTATGAAATCCTTACTATCATCCTATGACTCCTAGCAGTCACTTCTTGCTAGATGAGATTTCTTTCTTTTTTTGGTCTGGCCTTGAGCTCACTTTGTAGTGCAGGCTGGTCTCAAACTTGCAAGGACCCTCCTGCCTCAGCCTCCTGAGTGCTGGGAGCAGGGATTACAGGTGTGCAGCACCACGCCCGGGGAGATGAGATTTCTGTTTTCCCCTATTGCCCATCACCTCCAAGCCAGTGCATCTCTCCTTACCGTGTCTTTGTGCCACGTGGTCTCTTCTTTCTCCCCAAGCGAGAAGTTCAGGGAAATGTTGATGGGCGAGATGAGGTCTTGAATGCAGACCTGGGGGGAGGGGAACACAGCACAGGCCCTGAGTCTGAGCTGCGGTGCAGTTCCCCCCAAGTGCCTGCCTTGTCAGCATTTCCCCAACAACGAGATTCTAGAGAGTAGTTGTTTATGGCCTTTCCAATTGTGAACAGTTTGTCACCACGAATCAGTAGTGAAAACACACTTATCACACATCCGGGGTTTATAATGTGCCCCAGGTGCTTCTCAGCACAAGCGTCTGTTCCTTAGCCTCAATTCCATGGCGAACACCGCTCATCAGTCACAGCACTGCTTCTCACGGAGCCTAATGGGAGAGACTGAATCTTTGTCAAGTGGCCCCAGGCCGCCATTGCCAAAGTTTACACAAGAACATTCTAGAATCACTCAATTTCTAGAACATGAGTTCCTTGAGAACAGGAATGGGTTTCTGTCTCATTACCGGGGTCTGACACTGGCACTTCTACGCACTCAAACCGCACTTGACCTGCAGTTTCCACTCATTTTAAGAAGTAAGCAATTGGGGCTGGGGATTTAGCTCAGTGGCAAAAGCGCCTGCCTGGCAAGCGCAAGGTCGTGAGTTCGGTTCCCGGTACCGGAGAAAAACCAAAAACAAAAAAAAAAAAAAAAAAAAGAAGTAAGCAATCATTCCCACATTCAAAGGGAGAAAACTGAGCCCTGAAAGGATGATCAATTGACCAAAGGTCTAGAACTGGGACTGACAGACAGCTGAAATTTGGAACCACATCTGTCCTAATCCAAACCCCAAGGACTTTCTTCTGTTCCACTGCCGTTCTCTCTGGCAAATTTATGCTTGAACTTCCCAACCCTCTCGAGGCAGGTGTGTGAGGAGGTAGGGACACTGCACGCAGCTGGGAAGGATGTGATACTGCGATGTGATAATCGCTGAATCTGGCTGAGGGTTACCTGGAGCATCATTAATCTATCTGTTTCT